ATAATATATATATATATATATATATATATATATATATATATATATGTATGTATGTATGTATGTATGTATGTATGTATGTATTGTGCTTTATATAAAATTATAAATGCTAATAGCTGACAGAGTACCCATAATATATATCTTTGGTAAATTAGTCCTTCTTTTGTGGAACCTCAGTTTTACGTCTAAATTTAGAAGCTACAGAAATGATAATAAATACACCAATTGTTATACTACCGAGTTTCATTATCCACGGATTTTCACGAAGGAAATTTGCAATCATTTGTACAAGATCATCACTAAAAATAGAAATTTTGAATCAGAATTATTTTGATAATTGTAATAATATTCGCTTATAAAAGGATGAATCTATTAATAAATGTTAATTTCAAACTTACAATGGGCTTTGTGGTACAGGAACAGATTCTGCACGTGCATTTTTATACCATTCTTTTGCAAATGATACAAAAGAGTTAATATCATATTTTGTAATCTGATAACGATACATTTTTCCATGTCTAAATCTACAAGTACAAAATAAATTATGTTAAACAATGTAATATAATTATGTCATTAATCCTTTTGATTATTGTAGATTTTTACATTATTGTTATTGTTTATTTCTTAAACTACTTACAATATAAATTCAGGAGCTTTATAAACATTAAATCTTCTTGCTGTAGATGCTCCAGTTGTATATTTATCAATACGTGCTACATTAACCCTTTGTTTTAATTTTGCACCTACAGCTTCCCATCTTGCAATCATTCTAACACATTCCACACAATCTGTACTATAACTATTTAAAAAAAATATATATATATATATATATATTAAATATCTTTAGAATAGAGTATATAAAATATTAGGAAGAACTAAAACTTACAACATAACAAACCAATCTCCAGTTGTAGCTCCACTACTTGCTTGAGTTAAATGTTCAAAAGTATCATCTGTTAATTCTTTTACAGTAGGTTCCTTGTTTTCAGTAAATATAGTTAAAATTTCTTCATCATTTAATGGACCTAAAAAATATTAAATATAAATTTGTAAGTTAATGAAGATATTTTTTATATAATTAATTTTAATATTTTTAATATATATACCATCATAAAGTAAAGGCATTCCGTGTCTGAAAAATACAAGTGCTGGTTCTTTGTCAGCACTATAGAGACGAAGCAATTGACTATCAACAGCTTTTATAACCCAGCTTGACAATGAATTTACCAAATCTTCCCTTAAATGAATCAATTCATTCTCATAGTTATCACATGTCGTACAATCTTTGCTTGCTATAAACATATGAGATATATATACAAATTAATAAAATTATAATTATATATATATATATATATAATAACCAACTTGATGAATCAAAGTTTATACTATGAAAAAAGAAGAAAAAAAAATTTAAATTATAATTTTAAATCAGAAAGTTAGGCTAAGAGTATATAAAATTAATGAAATTGATTTTTCATTGATTTTTCATAAAACATTATATTTTTAAAATTTTCTATAAATTTACTTAATTATCTATTATTATTTAAAAGAGTAGTCAGATGAAAAGATAAATATATATATATAAAAGAATATATGTATATATATATATATATATACACATAAATTAAAACTCACAGAAAAGTACGACCACATATTTTTCAGTTTTTATGAGATTTATAAGCTCTTCATCACTCACTGTTTCGAGACTGGCAGAATAAACATCAACAAAACTACATATCAAGATGAAAAATATGATTCGTAACATTTCGTATTGAATTAGATCAACGATATTGTATAGAATATTTTCATGGACAACTCATACACGTCAAAGAGGTTAACATTCATGTTCTACTTCATCTTATTTCATTTTCTGGTGTAACTGTTTTAAATCACAGAAATTGTCATTTATTTTCTATATTTCTGTGAATAATCTAAAATCAATTTGATTATTTTATTACTTATAATATTTTCTGAGATTTATATAATTTTTATATTGAAATAATTTTTCATAAACGCATTTAAAATATTCAAAGTATCTTATGATTTTAAAATAACGAAGGAATTATTAGAAATAATAGTATTTATTTTATATTTCAATTTATTTTATTAAATAAAGATAGTTAATATAAATTCAAACTTTATATGTATAATTGAATATAGCTTTATATGCATAGATAGCTTTATCCATATTATTTTTTCACAAAATTTTTGAAAGATTTTTAAAAAAGATGTTTATTAGTATTACATACTATTTTATTTTAAGGCCTTTTTTTAATTTTTAGCTGTTTGTTCTTTGTATTCTTAAAAATTTTTGTTTTTCAAATTTTTGAAGAAAAACAACTTTTTGAGAATAAAATAATACATAAAAATGTAAAAAAAAAAAGATTTTTTAAGAGAACAACATATTTTGTACGCTTGTATGTTTAAGAAAATAATAATTAACAAATAGAACAATTAGTTTCATATAAATATTTTATGAAAATAAATTGAAAACATAAAATTTTTCAATGTTTTATTGTACAATTATTTCAATATATAATATTTCATAATTGTGTAATATATTTAAAAATACATTTAAAATTATACTTATAATATATTCAATATATTGAAATAATCTTTCAATATGTTTCGTTTTTAATAATCCAGTCGTTTTTTAATTATTATTTGTTAAATAATCTTCAACTTAATAGTCATGTATAAAAGATCATTAAAATGATGATCAATGACACGTGTAGAAGGTTAATAGCATGTGATAGTTATCTCTACATAACATGCAATGCTTGCTGAATTGATATCAACTATTTAACATATGTACAGTATGTACACTGTTTTGTAATTGACTTATTCCACGAACACGTTGCAGAACAGTACACATGGAAGCTAAAAATAAATCGCGCGATAATTTTAAACAGGCAAATTTATTATAAAAAATTTTTCGATCAGATATAACCAAAACAAATTAATTGTCAAAATAAATGATGTAATAACAATATAAATATTTTTTGGCAAACTATAATAATGCCCATATTTTATTCTAAATATTACCAGTAAGCTGATAGCATGATAAGAGTACGTTTAAATTTTGCCTTTTTGTTTTGAGATATTGCTCGTTGAATATTTTTACGATCTTTTTAGTTAGGGTGCTTCCGTGAATCTTCACGGCCCTGGTCACGAATCAGAAGTCGAAGGTCGAGTGGTATAGTGGTAGATGGTAACGACGTAAATAGTGACGCATATAGTAACAATGTATGCCGAAGGGGATATGCTGGTATGTGCGGAATCGACGTCGGTAACCAGTACAGGGTGGCTGACTTCGTCGAAGCGACGTTGGGAAGAATTCACGGGGTGGTTGGTAGTCGCGTGCTCTCATCGTTAGGTGAGCAACTTTTATATGGATGTAATCGGTTTACCAAGTATTTTTACGACTTATTGTTACCCTCATCAAGATCGGATTTTTGTTTTCGCGACACGCAAAACTTCTGCATCGTCGTGAGTATAAATATTACCTTTCGTAAAATACCGTTGCACGAGACTTTTAAAAAAGGAGAATGCTAATTCTTCTTAATCCTAATTGATGTATATTTTACCAAATCAATGGACATCCATTGAATACTTAGGAATATAATTATATATAACTTTTTTTTTAACGATTATTCAATGTTTAAAATAGAAATTTTTTTGTAATTATTATAAATAGTACGTAGTATATAGATACGTTTTTTCGCAACGAACAAGGAATTTCTTCCTACTTTTTCATAAAGGAATTTAGTGACGTCATCGGTAATCGTATGCATGATGTTTTATTCAAAACTATTTAATTTTTTAACAGTTATCTCGAATCGAATATATGTAGATTCACGCCATATTTAATTCAGGAAAAAAGGAAACGATTTTGTGTGGATATTTAAAAATAAAATGTTCAACGTTGCAGAATCCAACAGTTTTATCTGCTTAATGGTTTCAGTTTTGAAAAGCATGTTCGCAATTCATTTTATTCGGACGATTTAATTGTCTATGTTGATTGAAAAAATTGTTATGCTCATTTAAATATGAAAATTATTGTAATTTTCTTATTGAGAGATTCAATAGATTATAAAAATTTAAATATCATATAAGATAATATCCCATTATTAAAAAAAAAATTTCATATAGAAATAATAGAAATTCTGTTTCCAAGTGGAATAATTTTAATAATATCATTAAAAAATATTCCAAAGTTTTTTCATTTTATTCTTAATTAAATTAATATATTAATTTATTAATATATTATATTATATATTTGACAAATTGATTCTTTTTTTATATTCTATTATATTTTTCATGTTTTTATTCTTTTTTTGTATATGAATAGAATCAATTTTTAAAAAGAAATTAAAAATTTAACAATATTTAAATGCATATAACATGTATGTATTTTCTCTCTGTATTTTTTATTTTACGGAATATGAAATGAGAATTGTAACTACCTAATATATTTTTTTACATGATAAATACATTTTATAATATGTTAGAGAATAAAATGATTCAATCATTGAATCTTTCATGTATCGTTTTTCGTCACATTATTTTATATTTTCACAAATTGATAATTTTACATTCCACAAAGATTAAAAAGTGCCCTAGAAAAAGTATATCAAATGAAAAATATATTGAAATTGGCCATTATATAAATATTTCATCGATCTTAAATACATTTAAGAAGATTTAAAATTAAGTTCTACATCTTCTACGTTAAGATTTAAAATTAGACTTAATCTAGACAATAATCCTAAAATCTACAATCTATGCTAGACACTCAATGTGCAGAACTAGTGGAATTTAGATTGGATTGTAAATTTCTTAAAACTGAAATTCAAATTATATTTTTCAAAATCCGAAAAAATTTAATAAAATGAATAACACATAATAATTTAAAGTCTATATTACGTTTTTTTCATTTAAAAATGAAAAAAAATGAAATTGTTCTTATTAAAATATATAATTATAACTTTTTATTAAAAAAATCTTCATGTCTTTGAATCTGATTCTCTATATTAAATTCTGAGTTTTAAAGGATACTTAATTTGAGGTCTTTTATTTCAAAAGAATGTTTTTTATTAAAGATGGATATTCGAGAAAAATATCAGAAACGTGAGCAAGCAATTGAAATAAAAATCATAATGTAATCAAAACGAATGAAAGAACTTTATATGATATATTCCTGAATATAAAGTCTTTTGACGAAAGGACAATATAATTAGATATGAATTAGATAATATCAGATATCGAAATATTTTTTCGTGAGTGAAATTATCGTATATACATATATATATATATTATCCTGTGCAGATTGATGTCGCATTTTCTGTCGAATAATATCTTGTTAAATCGATAAATGGATAACGAGACCGAAATACTTTGTCGTGCAACATAAAGTTTTTATTTCATTGCTTTCCTTTTTTTCCTCTTCATCCTTCGATTCGTCAGTTTCCTGATAAACATCTTTCAAGTTTCATCAGACGATTTCAATTAGAAACGAGTTCAATTTTCAATCGCTTAATTCTATTAGCGAGAAACTTGAGCTAATGAAATTCAATCGGACGATAATTACGAGCGAAAACTAATTTAACAATCTTAATACCATATTGAATTCTTAAACTATTGGAGTTTCGAATAAATCCATTTGGAGCGGATTTATTCGTTTCCTAACCACTTTTGAAGAGCATCTATTTGATTCATCAGAATATCTGCTCATGTATTATGTATTATGCGTGCTCCTTTGCACGCGATGCTTATGATTTGTTCATCCTTTTATTAAGAGGAAGACAGCGAGACCGAAATGGCGCAGGATATCCCGAGGACGACGTACTTACCGGAAGTGGAGGAGGATGCAAGAAAGGAACGAGAACGGCGAACTATTCAAGAGGGAACTGCTACGTGGAAACGGCGAAAGGAGGAGTTACAACGTCAAAAACACCGAGAACAGCGTGAAGTATGCGTCGTAAATGATTGTTACACGAAACTCGTGGATCGTTTACGTCGGTGGCCTTTGCTGACCACGACCCTCTTTAGCTTTATTTCGTTTCGTGTCGTTGTCCTTGATCGGATGAAGATCAATGCTGGCCTTCGTGTCGCCGACAAACCTTATTTTTTTCCCCTTGTCACAGCATTTATTCGAAAGCTTGACAATAAATGGCGGATTTACGAGTGCACGTGTGAAAGATTCGTAGAATAGGATTTTCAAGTGGTCATATTTTTGTCCAAGCGTATTTTAAAGTAGAAATGGAGTTATTTTAAAATGGCATAGTGATAGATAAAATTATCTAATGTTTTTAAACATATTTAACTTTTGTTTTCGATCGATGTGCAACTTGATTTAAAGCGAAATGTTTTATTGAAAGATATTAAAATTTTCAATAAAGTAGTGTACTATTCCATCGCGATTCAGATTGTACTTCCAATTGAAAACTTTTTTCTTCAATGAGATTTAAACGTAACATATGAAAACGGTTTTTTGTAATTTTAATTTGTATAAACCGTATCATTAGTAGTCGCGTTATAATTACTACATATACATGTATTTGCCTTGGTAGTTGTAAGAAATATTTCACTAACGAGCGCAAATGGTCTCTTCAAGTTTTAATGGAACTCGCTTGTACCTTTAATATTTGTTGGTCAAATTATATTTTTTATCCATCATTTCTGTATGAATTATATTTCACGACGCGATATATTATAAACGGTCAAATGATATTTACAATTAAATTTGCAAATCTCTTTATCTAATTAAAGAGGATTGCATAATTTATTGCAATTAAAAGGGGATAATAATTTTAATTACGATTCTAAATTCTCTTTCATTCCTTTTTAACAGTTTAATATATAGGATAATTTGTTCTAAAGAGAGATCATTTTTCACAATTAAAAAGAGTTAAGAATAATAATTGTTTTAATTATAAATCTAAATTTTCTTCTAAAACTCTTCTAAAATTGTTTTCTTTAAAATTTTTGAATTTAATCTATGAATTAATATATATTAATATATCTCTTAAAAGTGTACAATTTTGTTTTAAAAAGATTGTAAATATCTATTTTATACAAAAGTATAAAAAGCAGTTATTTGTATAAACTCAAGCTTTTTTTTATCATGAAGAATAATTTTGTAAAAGATTCATACATAAAAGTTCATAAAATCTAAAGATTAAAATATTCAGATCCCAAAAGAATCTTAATACAAAGTATTTGCCATGTCAATGTCAGAAGAATAAATGCTAAGACGAAGTAATTTATTTAATAATTAATTCGTGAATTATAGCAACGAGTTAATTTCAAAATTTTTGATCTATAATTCTGGCATTAGAAAATATATTTTTCTGTAAAATGGATTATTTCACATTTTAATGAAAATGTTCTTGGTAAAACCAATTTAAAATAGGAATTTAAAACGTCTCGTTCTCTTTTTGTTTGAAAAGACATTTTCATCATAAAATTTCTCTCTTACATAACTGTGTGATATTTCGATATAAAATTTCATGTAAAAAGATATTACAAAATATTATATTAAACGTTGAAATTATTTAAATACGTGAGATTAAAATTAGTTAAATATTCGTATATTTTTATTGAAAATTAATAGGATTTTAAATTTTCTACTTGCTTGTTATGATAATTGAAAGCACATTTTAAGAAAATCTATTATGTACATTTTTTTATATTAATTTCATTATTAATTTTCATAACGAACTCGTAAAAAAAGGAAAGTTGAATCTTTTTTGAATTTTTACCTGATTTTTAAAATCTCGATAAGCGTAGAACTAAAGCTGTGAAAGTAAGTCGCGGGTATTCATTCTTTAAAACAGTTATACGGACAATGTGGTCGCAATAAATACGCAGTAGAAGTAATCCGTACAGAGTCAGACACATAGAAGCCATAGAATAGTAATAGTTGATATAGTATTCTTAATATAAAAATCAATTTTCGAAAATAATATTTACTATTTGTATTTTTTTATTAATTGCATATCTCTGTCTAACATAAATACATATATAAATAAGTTGTAGATAAATGTAAAAAAAAAAAAAAATGTAGAAAAAAGAAATTTTTTTGAATATTTGTAAAAAAATTATAAATATAAGAAAATATTTTTTAAAGTGGAAATGAATCAAATAAAAAAATCAAGTCAATAACCAAATCTTTCTTATTCTTTTGCAGCTGCAGCAACTTTTGAAGAGTTATTCGCCTTGGGGTAAACCAGGTGGTGGTGCTCCTTGTGCTGCGACTCTTAGAAAGAAAAACGTTCCTCTAGAACCTCTGGAACTATCAAAGTGTCACGATTTCGGTCAGGTAAAATTTTAAGCAATTTATTCTATTATATACACGTACATTTAAATGACGAAATTTATTCGAAACTTTTATAAAAAAAAAAAAAATATTAGAGTAGAACAAATAGATATTTGTTATAATTTTCACTACGTTTGAAGCGAATTCGATTGTTTCTGGTCAGCTAACCACTGACGTTCTTTTTTTATCTGTTACGTGATTATTCGCTACGTTGCTTTTTATTCACCATTTTTACGTTTACATTTTCGACCGATGGATTATGGATTTTTATCGATGGATAAAATCTGATAATAATTATTTTTTTAATAAAACTGTTATATATTCAATAGCATTAAAATAACAATTCATAAATCGATTTCATGTGAATTATTAATTAATTTCAATTTTAATTCGTGTTATTTAATCCTTCATTGATTAATTTTGATACATCAGATTAACAAATTTAATTAATTTTATTGATTCCTATTTCTTTATTAAATAATTCAATATTTCTCTAAAATGTACTCTATAATTTATATAAAAATATGAATTAATGATTTCCAATCTGGAATTTTTATTTAATATGGTAATAGTTCTTGCAATGTTAATAATTAATTTATTTTCAAAATAATATTTTGATTATAAATAAATTTCAAATTTACAAGATTATAAACATTACAATCTTTCATTTCAGCAAAAGTTAAATATACTTTTATATCGATAGAATTTTATTTTTTATTCATTTACATGTCTTACATTCCAATATTCGTATATAATGTATTGCTTTACTTTTTAATTTCCTTTCTCCACGAATATTTTTCTCTGATTAAAAATTATTAGAATCACGTGCAAATAAAATCCAGAAGTTGGTTTAATTTTTAATAAAAATGTACGCTCTTTTTATTTCAAACCAAGTGCTATTATTCAATGTCACACGAAACCTTGAATGAAATTTGTTTCATTTCCATAAAGTAACCCGTATATGTGACTCGTACCGGCCACCAAACCAAAAACCACGCGAGAAGGCAGGAATACCGAGATCGCGAAATTCCGGGCACGAAAATCTCCGAATAATATTATTCCTCGACGTGACGTTATATACAAATATAGGTGGAAGGAAATGGGAAGCCGCCGGGATCGAAAGTTGTTTGCAAAATTAGGATTCCTTTGTTCGAGGCCAATTCGTGGCGAAGGATGTCGTTCTAATCCTTATTATCCTGCCACAAGAACCATTATCATCGTAAAGAAGCGTTCATTGCTTTCAGATAATAACCATGCAAACGTTTGCCTTCGATATGTTCCCAATGACGCAAGTAGATAGACAACGATCGTACGTTCGTGATCGTGATTTGAGATCTAGTTCGCAAAGATTATTTGCAATTCAAAGTTACGATAAAAATGATATAGTGTGTGCAAAGATACGATCTTCGATTTACGTATTACATATTTTGTTCATCTTTGATTGATTAAGTTTAATCAAGATTGAAATAATCGAAGCTTTGATAATTTTTTAGAGAATCGATTTTTTTATGGAGAATTAATTTTACGGCAAATAAAATATTAAAATGAAGAAAAAAAGTCCTTTTAACTAAAAGATAATAGTGGTGTGGTAGTGGTGTGACGACAAGATATTGGGGGTTAATCACAGTACTCGTTATCGCGGTTGTGTTGATAAAATCCGATGATATCGTCGTCATCTCAACGACATTGCCTTTCATTAACATCTCAAGCTCGTACACGAACCCTCTTCGCTATCCCGTTTATGACTTTGATCGGCTTTATATCGATATTCTTATGTACTCGTTAACGAGCATCGAGAAGGTTTTTCCACGGATAATTTGCGATCATTAAGGTAATTCGCTTATTAGAATGTAGATGTGAAAGTTTCACTCGTGTATTTTTTGCATAAATTTAAATTAAATTGTACAAATACGGAATTATCTATTTTCTTCGCATTTTTTTTCATATTTAAAATTTTGTTTTCAGTTTTATGATTAAATCCTTCACTTTTTCAATTGATTAATTTTTTTTCAAGTGAAAAAATACTTTATTTTCTACTAAAGGAACTTTATTTAGTACTAAAGGAACTAAAACTTTTTTTCTATTACAAAAATTAGATTATAGATCATTGGTCTTTATTATATCGTTTTCTTTTCGAAAAGCGTTTATTTTTGTATACAGAATATAAAGAAGACGCGTTTGCAAAGTTTTTAAAACTTCTATCTCATATCCACGTCTCTTTTTAGATTTGTCATTTTGCAATTTTATGATCGTGAAATAGTATCATAATGTTGGAATAAAAGAAAGAAGTCTCTCTCTTTCTCTTTGGAGAAATCTTATTCAGAACAATTAGAATAAATCAATGTTACAAGCGTTTTAAAATAAGTGGAATTTGATTCATGGATCACGTTAGAGAAATTCTTTAATGGGCTTTCCTTGTACGGTAAACGTGAAACGTGTTTTTTTTCTCGGCAATAACGTCGATAAAGAAAGAATGTTAGGTGTTCTGCCCGTTTTCTGGATGTATTGTTCTCCGATCACGTAAAGTTGGAAACGTTTCTACCGGTATCCTAGCAAGAAAGTCAATTTCTCTTGCAGATACGAAAAAGCTTTATATCGAGAGAATTTTCGAAGAAAATTTCAACGAAAAATTGAGTGCAACGTCATCCCTTTGTTTCGAAAATCATGTCGATCTTAGTCGAACTTCGAATCCGGCCATCGAAGTTTCATTTAGAAAATTAAGTTCACACGAATAAGGAAAATGTAAAATATTGTACGAATCGACGAATAAAATTTAACGTTTAAACGAATGTTCTTACGAATCGAAGTTTCTTTTCAAAAATTAAAACGAGGATAAAAAATCTTTCTTTCGATGCGGGGTAAATTGAACGCTTGAACATTCGTATCTTTTCAACAAGAAAATTCCTAATGATCGAAAATTTCTTTCTTCTTCATCGAAGTCGACAATGATATAGGAATAAATGTGGAGAATTTTTCCCAGCAATAAATTGAACATTTGAAATGGGAGAACGGAGAGAAAGTTTCTTCGAAAGAAAGTTGATCGATAAATCGAGTAAAGGTGAAAATAAAGCAGTCAGCGAGATAAATTCAACGCTTGGAATCAAAAGTACGAAAGGAAAATGTGGTGATCGAGTTGTTTCAAGTTTTTGTTAATGCCCAAGTGGTGAGTTCGTCTCGAATATTAGGATATACACCGAGTGCAATGATTTCGAACACGTGTTTGAACACACGAAACAGTCAACTCGTGGATGTAGGAAACGAAGCTTGGAAACTGCTTAATATGCTATGACGCCGTGTGCTTAGCTGGCACCGCTCTGGCCCTGGGGTCGACCTGGTCCGGGTGGAGTTCCTTGGAGGGATCCCAAGTTGCTGGGTGTGCGCTTCCTCGAATCCATGGTACGCATACTTCCTGATGCGTTAGGCACTAGGAAACGCGATCAGCTTGTTAGGAAGGCTTCGTTTCTTGTTCTCAAATGTTCTTGCTTGTCAAATTATTGGATTTTTCATATTCCAGAGAGATTCTAAAGTAGAACTAGAATTTGGAAGAAGCAATTGCACGTAAAGCGATTTGGTAAATAGGATTAAGTTTAACACAATAATAAATCTAAGTTGAACGCAATTTTAGCATTTATTTTATAGGATTCTAATGGTATTTAATAAAATATAATCATTTGTTTCGAATAGTGTGAATTATTTGATGTTAGATTAAACATTAAAATGATTACTTTCGAAAGTCTATTTATTACAAATATCGTGACATTAGATCAGAAAAGTAGACGTAAAGAAAATTATACAGAATTACAAATGATTTCTATAGTTTTATTTCAATTCATTCGTGATTGATAAAAATAAAGTTTGGTTTACAATATACTCGAAGCGTTGTATTAGCTTCAACAGAATTTTTTCCAAAAGGAAAGAAAGAACACAGAAATCAATTAACTCGCAACAAACAAACGTTATAAATTACGTCAATTTACGTGAAAATTACGTTCAATTCAAATTCTGGTTACTTTCTGGTATCTCCCTATTCCTAGTACATTCGTTTACAACATATTTCCCTTATAATATTACTTAGGAGATCGCTTAAACATGTCGCCTCTCATCATTTCACCAAGTCTCTCGCCTGCCCGAACTTTTTCCACTGGGCACGTTCATGGCTTTGTACATAAACGCATCGAAACGGAGGAAATTCAACCCTCCACGTGTAATTTCCAACATATATATATATAGTACACAGTCGTAGCAATAGTCGACGTTCGTCTTTGCTTTTTAGATGCATGACCTGGATTAGCAGAGGTTAACGTTAATCGTCCGACTGAATCCTAAACTGTAACAAGATTTCATCAAATTCCCCGGCGATCTTTTCATCTTTGATTCGCGCGTCGGCGAACACGTAGGTTGAATCTTTCAATTCGTAGATGCAGAGCACGGTCCCAGATTTTTTCCCCTTACAACCGAATATCATCGTACACGTTGGGTGTACGGTAAACAACGTTTGAAGTGGAAATTAGCGTTTATATTAACGCGCTTTCGAGGAAACCGTGGTCGCGTTTCCGTGGTGACCAAACCGAAACCACCTTGCGGATCCTTTCCTTTGGCTCCCTCCCCAACGCACGACCGCTCCAAGGACGAAACTCTTAATTTTTAATCAACGTAACTCGTCGCTGAAACGGCAAACAACGTAACCATCGTCACGTTATTGCATAATCGACAATCCTGAAATTTAAATTGAAATTTATTAGCTCGAGGTCGCTCCATTCTGTACTACTGTAAATCCTTATCCTTGCTTTTTCTTCTTTTTGTTCCTCTCCTCGTCTTTCGAAAATTTTTCAACCGTTGAATCTTTCCCAGACCGTCGTTGTTATTATCTCTCTCTTTTCCTTACTGATGCTCGAATCTGTTTCTGGGGCATAGATTTATGGAGGGTTTTACGTTTTTCCCCATAATAAACCTCGCGCAGTCTAACTAACCAGTTAAGTGGGATGATATTGATGAATGGACGAAGCAACCAACGTTAAGTCGTGTCTGACCAACCGATTACTGATCATCCGATGATAGATTCCTCTCGTCAATTTTATTGCTTCTCCTTCTCGTTATTTACTCTTTGATTTATCCTCTTTTCATCCTTTCTCCTTCGCCCGTGCCCTCGATAGGTATTTGCTTTTAATTAAGTTCTCAGCCGCGAAAGTTCCATATTTTTCTTTTTCGACCCGATATCGAAAACGTGATTAAACAAGATCGATACCTGCCGATTTCAATTTCAGTCTCATCGATTTTTCAGCGCGGGCGACGAACTGTTTAACTGCTCGTTCGATCTTAGGTTAAATCATTGACGATGACTATGAGTTACTTACGACTCGAAGAGTTGCTCGATTTTTCTCTCTCCCATAAAAATATCCAATTATTCTGACAATCTACGTACACATTATTCCACCGCCAGGAAACTTTATCTTCTCGAATTAATTGTATTGTATGCCTCGAGGGAACGACGTCTGGCTAAAAATCTGAGTGAGTAACGATATCTCAATAGAAACTCGCATAGAGTAGAGAATCGTCGCGAGATTACGCATAAAATTTAGAGACAATGGCACTATGTCGATGTACAAGCCTTGCTTAGATCTTAGAAACGGTCGAAGCGAAACGGTCCGCGACGCGAATACGAATGAATATCCTCGTTCGACCGAGCTCGATTCGATTTGCACCGCGCAAGTTGCATCGGTTACAGCGAGTTACCGCTTCGAATCGTTTCAGGGATGGACGAGTAATTCGACGATCGAGAGGTTGCACAGAAGGAGCGTTAATCCTTTACCGGTCGCGGATACGAACAAGTTTTTCGACGATCGACCAGAACCAGGTAAATCGATGGAAATTCCCCGCGCAAAATCGATGAATGTCCGGTTTCTTAGGTCCCTTCGTTCCCCTAGATGTCGCTACGGGTATGCAGCTAGCGAAGAGTTCGAAAGATCCTTACAACGAGGAAGTTCAAGTGTACGAATTGACCGGGGGTGTGGAATTGGTGCCGCTTTTAACCAGCAGACGTTATTACTCGAAGGGTGCTCGCCACATTGCCACCGACGCCACCCGGCCTGGATACACAATAGACTCGTACGTATTATCGCGAAATTTTTCGAGTTGTTTTCAAGAATTATATTTCTTGCACTTCGTTTGCACGAGTGATTTTTGGTTCTCTTTCTTTCTGGTGATGAAAGTATCATTTATTATTGGAGGAAAGAAATACGTGAGATATTTTTTTTTTGATGCAATTTTGAAAAAGATGTAGGAGAAAAAAAAAAGGAAAACGAATGAATTTAGGAAAATGAAATGTTCTTCATGTAGATGCAAATACTTGTAAACTCGAGAATCTTTTACTTCCTCTGAATAAATTTAAATATGAATGAAGCAGCATTTGGCAAAATTATAATTAAAAATTAGACAGAACAGCAGAAATATATGCAGATTATATTTTTACAGTTCCAAGCTCTTCCACTTCTTTTTTCTTTCTTCAAAAATACAATTATATTTCATATTTGCAATAACTTTCGTTGTAATCTCCATTCGATTTAACTCTATCGTTGTTAAAAAGTAAAAATACTCTCATACTTCTATCTCCATCCATCCTGTTCCCCATCCTTTATCATTTCTATGCCAATAAAGCCAACCTCCCTTTGTAGGAAGTGGATTCGTAGATTCATTTCATTTGGTACCTCGTTGATCCTTCCCTCGTTGCTCGTGTACAATCTTGACGTGTCGAAAGACAACACCATATCAAAATGCGACGAGGCATGAGCCTACAATGCAAGTCTGGTTAGCGTTGTTACGCTACCCGAGGGATGTAACTACATTACAGGTAATCAACTCATTGACCCGAACTCCCTCGCCCTCAACAACTTCAGCTGCTCCGCACCATCCTACCGAATGTTTGTCAACGTTACAATCTGTCGCTTCGTGTGCTCGTCAACAGTTTTCCGCTTGCAATATCTTCACAACTTCCTCTCCCTCTTCCCGCTTTGGAAAGCGTTTGGGTAATTACACGGTGAAAAATCGGTGATGACGGCTGCCACGTCGAGTATTGTCCCTCCCAATCACTTTTCCTCGCGCTTTCCTCCTTCAAGATGCTCTTCTCTCTCATCTTCAAGATCTTTGCTCTCGAAAATTACGAAACAAAAAAGGATAAGCGCAGAGAGGAGAAAGACGATCATTAGAGAACGAGGAACAATTCGAGCCAAGAGAATTAGGGGCGATCGATGATTTTTCATCTTTCAACTTTTGGAAATTTCCTTCCAATTCTTCTATATCCTGAGCTTCATTCGAATCGACGAAGTTATTACTGGATTCGTCGTTGAATTATTTAAGATTCATTAATCTTAGATTTCGCTCTATTGATCGGTGTTTCCGATAAAACAATAAATCTGCAACTTTTCGTTCGATCATGGAAAATTTTAGAAATGAAGTTTAGTTTCGTGTTAATTAATTTCGAGTTCTCATTACTAATAATAAGGGTGGAGAGTGCAAGGAATATTGTTTTATCGTGACGTCGTTATACCGATTACAGAGGGGAACAGAGCCGAGAGACTAATGTATAACAAGACACTTTGATAGCGTTTAATGGAATTTTGTATGAAGCAGCCGTCAGGGATGTTACGTTGTTTATAATACGGTTGGACGTCAGCGGAACACTGCGGCAATTAATCATCGTTGATTATCGACTGCTTTATGGAATAAACGAAAACAGAATCGAGGCCATGTATATCTTGTTACATAAATTATAGAATGGATAGATCTTTAAGCAATCGATCGCCACTCTCTTCTTCGTTCTTTTCCTCTCCTTTTGCAAAATAACGGAGGAGGGGGATGTGTAAAGAGATGAGATAAATTCTAAAGAGAGGAGGAGATGTGTTCCAATTCTTTTCTTGTGTGTCTTTTTTAACGAAGGGATCCTCTTGGAAGACATTGCTGGCGAAAGAAAAAACTTCTATTTTCACTGACACCACATTTTGTTAATCCAATGACTAAAAATTTGATCTCTGTGAAAAGAGCCACCAAGCTTTCTACGACACTTTCTTCCCAGTTCTTTTACATTCTTATTCGAGAAAGATAAGATTAAGGCTAGATTTGAATAAAAATGTCTCTCTAAGATAACGCCTTTCCACTGGATGATTCTATTTATTTTCTTCTAATTAAATCGTTCGCTCTTGCATTTCGATTATGCAGAATTCAATGATGATATTCCACAACAAACTCGATATAGAACTTTACGATCGATTTGTGCTCCTGAATGAAAAATTAGAAAAAATGAAAGACAAACTCTTTGGATTAGACGATGTAGAAAGGAAGAAGAATTTTATTTGTATAATGTCTTCCACTGATACCTATTAAAGAGTAAATACTTTACAGCAGATTACTGTCCGACAAGTCGTGATGTAGGTGTCTCACAATATAATACCTCGCTTATCTTATTTGTTTGGAAGACTTAAATCTGTCGAGACAGAATTACAAGGAATTATTCAAATGCACGTCTGAATCTTTGAAGATAACTTGAACAGATTTTTACAATCTTTCTTAACCTTTTGGATCTTCCTATTCTGTAAGGATTAATTTAAAAAAAAAACTAACTATCATTAATTTCACTCGAAATTATTTTTTTCAATGAAATAATTTTAAGAAAGTTAAGTTTTTTTTACCATTTATTTATCTTCATACGGGCACATTGGAATATTTTACTATTCATCGTTGACCATTATAATAGAAAAGGATTGGATAATTCGAATAAAACTGAGAAATATTATTATTTCTTTCCTCTTTATTCCCTGGATATAAGAAGCAGAAATGTTTTGTTAAATTTTTTTTCACGAATTTTATTCCCTCACGGAGGAACATTGATAAAAGATATACGAAACTACTAGGATAATATTCTCGTAAAAAGCGAAATACGGTTCAGAAACAATATTGCAATAGTTCTCCGAGTACCATAGAAGTTTGTATTGCGGTGGGTTAGTCTCTCATAAGTGGAAGCTTGGTAACAAGTAGTTGGTGAACATGTTTGCTTCGTATATTATTGTCGTAAAAAAAAAAAAAAAAAAAAAAAAGCTGATATCGTTCCTTGTGGTTTTTGTAGACACTTTTCTTGCTTCTTACGTCTCGCTTAACATGTTTTGATCGTAATATTTGCCAACTTTCTAAACGCAATGGGTCGATGAAACTTTTATAGATTCACGACAAGTTTATCGGAAAAATTGAGAAGAGTCTTTCTTTATTCGAAGAGAGTTGCTTTCGGTTTTATACAACAGTTTTATTTCATCGTCAGTTTTATTTTTTTTTCTACAACTGCATCATTTAGGCGGATTAATTTTCGAGATCGGAAAAAAAATTATTTTCTTTGACTATATATCTTATAAATATAATCCATGCTTTTTTATCCATTTTTCTTTTAAATCTAACGTGATTTAAGGCGATTTTTTACGAATTTGAATTCAGAAAAACACGCAACAAATCTTTTCATTCTGAAAAAAAAATTCATTTATTATTTTTTCATGGATATTTTATCATCGTCTATTTTCCATAAAAATGGTTCAAATTCGTGAAAAAAAAATTGTAATTGATCTTTACATAAATTGTGTAAAATTTAGATACATCGTATTAATTTCACTTTATTATTTTACTTTTGATCATAACGCTTAAGAATATTCGATGCAAACAATATTAGATTTTAGAATATTGATATTATCATAAATTTCATATATACATGCCATGATCAAAGTTGTGTTTGAACTGATAAAATTTAAATTTATCGTCGAAATGTTTATACGAGCGTCATTTTCCTAATGAAAGCTTTAATAAAACAAGTCGCAATTTAATCCATGTTTAATTGGACGTTTGAGAAAAGAACTTTCTTTCGATATTCGATCTCATGCGAATCTCTTTCGAATAATTATCGTATACGCAACACGAAATTTATATGATTCGTAGTTTGCAAAGTTGCGATTTGTCGCATCATGGAAACGATTTGTGTTTGCAAATCGCAAAATAACGAGGATATTTTCGATATCGGATCTACTTTCATATATTTTGGCCGAGATGGCCAAATGTATGACCAATATATTCAGAAACCGAAGTGATGTGCGTTAAATAATAAATAAAAATTTGTGAAGTTCATTTAAAATGGTTTTGTCGGTGCAGCTTGCGAACGTTAGAAGTTGGAAATCGCGAGTACATCACTGAACTCTGTGATCAAATGCGACGAAAACAGGAGAAGGCATTGGTAAGTGCATGATATATATACTATATATATATATATTAGTTTTTAAGATAGAAGAAAATAATAAAAATATATCATGAATTGTGTACTCACTCGTATTCTTATTTATTAAAGAAAATTCTAATTTTTTTCATTGATTTTTTTCTAGAAAGAATGATAATTAATAAAAACTTAATGAAAATCATTATTCAGAGTATCAAATTTTACTAAAACCGAGATAATTTTTCAGTCAAAGATTACAAATATAATAATAATAATATTATTATCACTTCAAATCACAATTACACTTCGCGCTATCCAAATTAATCAACTTTCATCTTGCACGTTTTTCGCTCTAATAAATTGCAAACAGAGAAATTAATTACATTTAAAGAGAAAGAGCATCGAATCAAAAAAAAAAAATCCATTCACTTGTTCCATTAATATAATAAATTCCATTAGCTGATTCGAAATTTTAATACGAGCTAGATACACCACAATTTTTTTCCATTGCCAATCACTTAGTGTAATTGTCCATGCGAATTTCGATCAATTTGGGGATCTCTCAGTGTTATTAATTCGCTAATAATTTTTCGTTTATGGGTATGGGTAATGGTGAAAATTTCGTTTCAGGAGGAGCGAAGGATGGAGCAGGAAAGTTGTCGGAGACACTTCGATACCTGGAGAAAGTTGTGGGGCCGACCTGGTCACGGAGCGCCCATAGATCACGCCCATCGTAACAATCTCTACAACATTCTCTATCGTCCGGCTATCTATTGAATTTCCACTCGCACTCGGAAAAATCAGAACTGAATCTCCCACTTTCTTCCCGCGCGATCGAGCAACTTGGGAGAAATCTCTTTATGTTGGGCAAAAGAATTGTTACGGGGCGGGCAACTATAGCTATAAAGGATAATACTAGTTTCTCGAGGTCTACAATAGGACGATAGAACGAGATAGGGAATGCAGTTTCTTCCTTCCTAGGTGAATGGATTTAGAAAGGAGGAATGAAATTTACCGTTTCTTATTGTTAATATTCATATCCCTTAGGATAGATAAGTGACAGGATCGTTACGGGAACAATTGACAATTGTTTAGGATGTAAGAAATAGGGGAGATAACGTAATGTGTAGATAATGATATGAAGTAGTATGTAAATTAGTTCATTCAAATTTTAACAATCGAAATTCTATAGACACGCGTTTAAACGATTTGCAATTATGCAAAGTGTTGGAAAAACTAAATTTGAATATTTTCTGTTTATTAGATACACTGTTATAATTTTTTAATCGATATTATATATATGTATATAGTTCGAATTAGATGATAAAATTATATTAGAATTAAAGGATTCGTAACGAATCACAACTGTTACCAATTTTTATTTTTCATTATTCGGAATTCTCGTTCGATTTTTGTTATTCGTTGTACATAATTTTTGTTCTAATCAAATTATGGAGTTTTGGATCTCATTCATGATTGGAAGATCAATCGTTATTTCGTTTATTTTTTAACATACGATTCGATATTATTTGTGTAAAAAGAATGCACCACGTAGAAGAAGAATATCTATATATATATAAAATACCAATTCATCACGAGTCCTGTCCGGAGAGACGATAAGAGTTTGAAGGATGATTTCGTCTATCCACAGAAATATGGGAGAGAAATCAGTGGTACGAATGGCTTTCACGTGGTAATACACGGCGAATCGAGTGAGGGAACGCGTCGGGTGAGGTATTAAATTTCATGAAAGCCTATCAAGGGTGCGAGGTGATGTTTGATAAAGTAGAGGCGCGCTACGATTGACCAGACCTCAAAGGAGTAATCTCGAGAGAACGTGGCTACCCTTGGAATCGATGATTTTTAAATTTCATGAACACCAAAGAACCGTGAATTTAAATATGCTCGTATGCGCTTCTCTTACGCGTTCCCCTCGTGTCGGGGGATATCGACTTATATCGAAAATAATCAAAAGGAAGTAAAGCCGTCGATACAGGTATCCTTAAAAATCTTTATTGGTTACTTCGGTTCACGGGCATCAAAGGGCGAGAACCAACAGACAAGCGAGTGGAACGTGAAAAGGTGGGGGGAGGGAGAGACGAAAAACAGTTTGCAATATCGCATGCCATGCTAAGTGGGGTGAAGCGACTGTGCGTTTGAACACGATATTCAAACATCTGCAGTATTTCATAATATGTATTTCGAGGAGACAAGTTACGAATTGAAAGTTCGGCATCAAATACCATCGTTATTCGAGCCGCGTTGAAATTCAATGCGTTTAAAGGAACGGATATATCTTACAAATTTCGTTCGTTCTTTTTTCCCAGGGACAAGAGACGAGAGGTAATACCGCGTAAAGTGTTCCTTTCAGATATATGATCTGCCAATTTTCTTTACACTTCTTGATACAAATGGTGCAAATCGGATTTTGTTAACGCGATCGTCTTAATTATTTTCATCGTTGAGGAATAATTTTAAAAACAATGGTTAATCGTGAAATTATTTGGAAATTGCCACCATCCATAAATATAATGTAAGAGATAGATCTGATCATTTTACAAATAAAACGAAACCTTTCTTAACGAACGTCGAATAAAAATAGATACATCTTATTTACGAATGAAATGGAACCTTTCCTGGAACAAAACATTCATTCCCATCCAGCTGATTAAATTAAAAGGTGAAACGGAGAAATTGCGATCCCTCCCCCAATAAACGTCTTCAATTCAATTGGATTGTTGGTCCCAGCCCAACCCGCCACCGGTACAATTTGTATTTCTAAACGCGCACCTTTGTTCCGCGGTCAGGAACGGAGAACGCTAGTTTCATCCTTTCCAGGGATGGGTTCTCCTCCTCCTCCCTTCTCCCCTTGGAAAGCCACGGAATCCAGCGCTGTCGCGCATCTCTCCGGTTACGATCCCTACGTCCGAGCCACAGCCACCGCTGTGCCGAAACCTGCCGCTTCCACCATTGTCCGACTATTGTATTCCGTTGCCACTGTGTGTCCGTTCGTTTGTATAAGAGTGATTCATTTTCCGCGAAATATCAGTTCCTGCGCCGCATGAATTGCAACTCGCACGGCCGCGTCGCAACCCTTCCCCTCCTCTCCGAAACCCGCTGTGTTTCGACCCTTCTCCATTCTTCCCTATCGTTTATTCATTTCTGTCTCTTTCGTAGCGCGCATTGTCGCGAAATTGGGTCGGTCGCTTTGGATACCATGGTTGAAATGAGATACGTGACACGGTGGTGGTCACGATGTGTCTCGGTGAAAATTGGTCATACGCTATTCTATTTTATGTATATATATATATTTTTTTCATACGTTTTTTTCCCCCCTTGTTTTCCTCCAGTTTTGCGTCTTTTCCTCTCCCTTTTCGCTTCGTTGTTTGACGCTTATTTAGAGAGAGCGACGCGGAATAGAAAAACATCGCCGTTCCTTCCGGTTACCTGTTTGTGGAAGAGTCTTTAATTTCCGGCTGCGCTTTCGAGGAGGGCCGAATCGCGACCTCGAATCGCATATCCGAACCGTGTTTGGTATTTTATTCTTAAACAAAGCTCGAAATATCCGCACGCGATTTTATTTTACGAATGCAATCGCGTCTATGGAATAAATATCACGAGTTCTCGTTTATTTATATTAATATATTTGAAAACGCGTTTACAATGGATTTGAATACACGTTGTGAAACTTTACAGGTTTGGAACTTATAGATTTTACACGCATATGCTGCATTTTATATTAAAATATAAATAATAATATTTAATCGTTGAAATTAATATTATTTGTAATTTTCTATAATGATAATTGCACAGGAGAGGAATAATTCTACGATATCTTTTTATCCTCGTATTTTTAAGATTTTTTTTTAAAACATATTGAAATAATATTTCTCTTTATCGATATTCAGATTAAATAATCTTTTTAATTTTTTTTAATTCACAGGTAAATATGGCGGAATGGCGGAAATAATTTAGCAGTTCCACTCCCTCGTACTCATCCCAGAAAGATCATCATTTTTCTTTCTTTTTTTTTTTTTTTTTTTTTTTACGTTTTTTTTTTACCTGTAGTCGTAC